TATTATTATTATTATTATTATAATTATTAATTATTATTATTATTATTATTAATTATTATTATTATTATTATTATTATTATTATTAATTATTATTATTATTATTATTATTATTATTATTATTATTATTATTATTATTATTATTATTATTATTATTATTATTATTATTATTATTATTATTATTATTATTATTACTATTACTATTATTATTGCTATTACTATTATTATTAAATTAAATTATTATCATTATTATTAATAATAATAATAATTATTATTATTACTATTGTTAATTATTATCATTGTTGTTGTTAAAGAAGTTTTTGGATAAGATAAGTCATACTTTTTATGATTTTGCCCTTTTCTCTATTTCAACGGTCAACAAGTTTGATTCTACAAACATTACTTCAGTTGTGATTGAGACATTTAATGCCCCTTGAGACATAATCATTTTTCATTCTCTTTTGTTCCAATATTCTTCTCCATTCTAGAATGGTTGCTTAGAACACTTGAAATGTCCTCTATTATTCTCGAAGGACTACATTCTCGTTTAGTTCGTTGATATTTTTTTGCGAAAAGAATGACGAAATAGCAAATTTGTGATTTCAGTCAGGCAAAATCCTCTTCCTATGTCAAAATAAGCTTTTGGCAAGCCTTTCGACTTGTGACAATTCAAAAAAGACTGCCAAGTTGCTGAAGATGGCATTTGGTGAGCGACAGTCGAAGAAACTTGGAAAAGATTTTGAACATTTCTTAAAGAAAACTTTGAAAACCTTACATAAGGAGAAAAAGGTACATAATTCTGAGTGCAATTTATACTTTTTTGGATTTTTTCCAAATAATATTTCTATGTATATCTACACATCCTTAATTATAACCCTTAATTGCTAATTAAGAAAAGGTTTCTAAACATTATTTTTAAAGATATCCACGTTTTTAAAGAGAAATTTGTATTTTAATTTAAATGAATTTAAATTGCATACACATATGTTGGATTTATATATATATATATATATATATATATATATATATGTATAT